CTTTAGAGGTCTTTATTTATATACTAGCCGTTTCGCGCCCGCTTTGCTGGACGAATTAAAAATAAATTTTATGTTTCATTATTTTTTTTTTTCATATTTATTATTCTTCTTTTAACTTCCCGCTAAGAAAATTGAAATATTTCGAAAATCGAGTTTTTAACAGATTTTGACGTTTAGAGGTTCTAGGAAGCCTCCCCGAATGTTTCCGCGGTGAAGTCCGTATGGATAAATTTTCATAAAAGTAAAACAGCAATAAAAAAATGAAGGAACGTTGGAATTTAATAAATAAATAGCCATAAATTTCGCATCGAATGGTGGTAGTTTCATGTCGATACGATCAGTGGTTTAGGCGTGAAGGAGCCTCAAACGAAGACCATTTTCCTTTTATATATATAGATATTAGTTTAATAAAAAGTTAATGCTCAAGTCAATGTTCAGTGATCTGAGGAGCAATAGCATACTCAATCAATACTTAACTTATGGTATTTAATTCCTATATTTTGGTGACACAGTCGTATATGTACTTCTAAATACATGTGCAACTATTTTTTGTTAAGTACTTGTACTCCTAAGGGCTAAGTTTACCTGTCTGTCTTTTTGATATAACATAAGTGGGTTAGCCTTGTTTTTTTTTTTGCTAGAGGGGGGGGGGGGGGGGTGCTGTCCTTTGGGCAGTCGGGCCGGCCCAGCGGGGGGGGGGCCGGAGAGGGGGGAAGAAGGGGGGGGGGGGGGGGGGGGGGGGGGTGGCCGCGGGAAGAGAAAAGGGAACAGCAGGGGGAAAAAAACGGAACGGCAGAGAAGAAGGGGAGGAACCCAAAAGGGCGGGAGCATACTGACAACAAACAAAAAAAAAAAAAAAAAAAAAAACCAACACAAAAAAGAAAAAAAAAAAAAAAAAAAAAAAAAAAAAATCCAAACAAAAAACAACAAAAAAAAAAAAAAAAAAAAAAAAAAAAAAAAAAAAAAAAAAAAAAAAAAAAAAAAAAAAAAAAAAAAAAAAAAAAAAAAAAAAAAAAAAAAAAAAAAAAAAAAAAAAAAAAAAAAAAAAAAAAAAAAAAAAAAAAAAAACAAAAAAAAAAAAAAAAAAAAAAACCAAAAACGAAAAATTAATTTTTGAAAACTTGGTACGGTATAAAATGACATTTTCCTACAAGTTGGAGTGATCAGGCACAGGGTTTAGGATCATAGGTTACATAAAGCACTATTCGGGATGACGTAAGAATCTAGAAAAAAAATTGGCAAAAAAGTAAATATTTGTAACAACAGGAATGAAAAAACTGTCACATGGTGTGCATTTTCTGGAATAACAAAAAAATATCCATAACTTCAAAAATACATGACTTATTTTTATTTTTTTATTTTTCTGATAACTGGTGTGGCATTACCTATGAGAAAGTTTCGACTTGACGTCGACTTTTGGGAAAATGCAAAGAAAAAACCCCCCCACCCTGTATATATTATATCCTCTAAACCAAATTTTTGTGGAATCAAAGTGAAAATTTCCTTTCAAAAAGTTTAGAAGATTTCAGTCCATTAGTAGTTCGCGAGCAGGAATATTAATACAAATCGATTATCATTTATCTAATAAAATTCGTTTAATCATATTTTTTTCTTGAATGGGATCTCTCCGTGTTCGTTGGCGGTTGGACGTTGGCCTTAAGAGCCTTTACAGCTCAGCTCGGGCTGATATGGCGAGCATAGCTCGGCCGAGACGGCTCATGTATTCATATAAACAGTCACCACTATGCACAATATGCTAAATAAAACAATACCACGTTTTCAGATGCAACAACTGCCATCTAGTGATCAGCATGATAATCAACTTACTGACTAAACGTAAACACTAAGTCAAAGTTAAGATTTATAATATAACAACGAAACTTGATATGTGACTTGTGAGATATCTATTGACGTGTCTATTTAAAATCGGATAATAGTTACGTGAACTTGATGAATATAGCGTTTTGTTTTTAAGATTTTTAAAAGATTTGAGAGATTATTTCTTAAACAAGAAGTAAGTGCACGATATTCATAACCCCCGAACCGTAGTTGAAAGAGTTATATAATTGGAATTGATAAGATTATAGTACTTTTGTTTTTAATGTAAGTTGTTTATAAGCTTTGCAAATAAAGATTAATATTATCATTATAATAAACTACGTATTATCATAAATGTAATAGAAAGAAGTGCAATCATAAAGATTACCTTTCTTTTGCTTTCCTGGGGTTAGTACAAGTATACTGCTTAGGGTCTATATCTAAAAAAGTCTACCTAGTCTACCTACCTATTTGTATTAACTAAATCAGTCTATTTGCACCATTTTTACTTTTACGAAAGTATCCTTTCTGTCAAATTATCGTTACTGTAGAATGATAACCTCGTATGTCCAGAGAACCAAACATTACAGGAAACGAAAAAAATGTTTCATTTCGTCAATGTTCGTTAAAATATTTTTATGTGCTTTTGTCCATAGTTTTGGTAGTTACGAGTTTACGCTATGTTAAAAAAAACATATAGAAGAAAGGAGAAGAAGCAACGTCAGCGTAGTGGTTGAAGAGGTTTTGAATTATTCAGCTTCTCGGCCACGAATCTGCCTGTTCTTGTGGTTGATTTAGGGTATTACATATATAAAAAAACCGAGGTGATTTCTACTTCTACTTTCTACTACGCTTAAAAATTTAATGGTACACAAAAATGCGCGTGGTAACTTACACTTTATCAAGTAGTCATAGGTCATTGACGTTGATGCCGCAAGGGTAACACATTTCAATGATTACGCTTACGTAAACATAAATATCTCATCATATTTGTAAATATATGAACGAGGTCGAATCCGTTTTGATAATGAAAACTACGACAAAGTTATCTGGCAAACTTATTTTATTCATTTTGGCTGCTTTTTTTTAGTATAAATTGTGTTTTGGTAACAATACGGCTTAAATTTTATACGGGGTTATTATTAAGTGACGCAGCCCACTGGGGGCCAACTGGCGTTGGTCAAATATAAATTCTGAACCAAAGTAGGTAAAAGCATTAATTAAATTATTAGGAAATAAAAGTGTATCGCCTAACAAGATTTCTATTATAACAAGACGTACCTAGTACTTTATCAAAATTTATTGCTGCACGTCGATAGTCGAGGCCTCAGTAGAAGTTTTAACTATAATAGTTTTTTGTGAGAATACCGACTGCCCTCGTTGTCCGTGCAGCTGCCCTGACTCGGTCATAGATGTAACTAGAAATATAATAGAACAGATGTACAATTTGTGTGTGCGTCAGATTTTTTGTATATTTGAAATTACGAACATGTTCCTATAATTGAAACGGCCCAAAGAATATTTGGAGAGTCGAAATTCTGTGGATTTTATTCATATATGTATGTATATACATTGATTTCAAGATAATTCTGAGACACTTGACTTCATTAATCAAGCAAAATGTATTAAATCAGTTTATTCAAATCTGCATTTTAATAAATATCAATATAAAGTACCTACTGACATGGAATTAGATCCCAAAATAATATAGTTTAACCGAATAAGTCCTAAGTTTTTTTTAAATGTAATAGGACAATTTTTACTTTTAACTTTTAATAAATTAAGTTTTTACTAATAATTAGAATGCACATTAATATCTTACGCTAACATATATCTTATAAATAGTATATCCTCGTGATATATTATTTTATTTTCTAATAGACACGTTTGTCTATTTCATTAATCATTAACCAAAAAAATAATGTCCTCTCGTTGTTGGAAATTGCGTCCGAATGTGGAAATTAAACGCTTAATCACAAGGCTTACATTACAACATCAATCCAATATAATTATACATTACTGCTAGTCCAGCAACAAATATGAAGAATCTTAAAGCATTCAGTTGTTTGGCGCTAAAAATGATTTGCTAACTCAATTACGTGTATTCTCAAAACTCACAGTTATCACAAACAAAAATCTACAAAACTCAAGACTAGATTGTGGCTCGATATAAAGCTTCTGAATTTAGCATTCAGAAGAAATCAGAAGCGACAACTAAATGAGAATTTAAAAACTCCTTTGATAAAACCTAGATTAGAAAAGATTTTATGTTATTAATAGCACATACTGTTATTTAAAACGATAAGACAAGTTAACAGTTGTTCGTAACATTACCTAAACGAAATGAATTAAATAATAAAGCCTTAATTTCTACTGAATTACAAAATAATTTTACGCTACGCTAAAACAAATTTAGTGGCCTCTTCTATTCCGTCTGCGGCTTAAGTCTCACCTAAGCCTATGTATTTAATTATCTATATACCTACGTATTGATAATCATTAATACGTACTATTAAATTTAAAACCGAAAACAGGTTTTACTAAACAAATTGACGACGTCGTATCAAGTGTGCAAAAAATTTCCATATTTGTTATGCTAATCTATTTAAATTTATTGTCGGAACATTGCCAAATAATTTAAAATAATGAAAAACTAAGAGGCCCGACCAGTGACGTTGATAGTGACGCAAAACCCCGCCTTCCAATTTTACTTCAATGTCCGCTAGCAAGGTCTAATTATTATTGTTTATTTAGGGTTTTTGTTGATAAGCTTACTGTTCATTAGTCAAATTAGTTTTGGCCGTGACGAATTACGATATTCGTATTCGGAAAACAATGCAAACCAGTGCCGCATAACTTCATGAGATTAGATACTATTTAATTCTTCATATTTTTATTATCTCGAAAATACTAATTTAAAAAATATAATTACAAAGTATAGCTTCTAATATATTATTACATTACAACTTTTCATTATTTTCTTTTGACAAAAATAAGCAATTTATTAGGTAAACCTTTATTTTCTTTTAATTTATTATAATAAGTACAACTCTTCAAACACTCAATCATTATCATAATTTCATTTATAAAGCCGCTAATTACGAAACGGATTTATGTTTTATCTACGAAATAATTCATCGACAGTAGTGGATTGACAGTTGTGAACCGCGCACGCGCAGAAAATGGCTCAGGATAACCTAACTGCAGTGCTGTACAAGCCAAAAGATTTGCGTCTCGTGAGTTCACCTTTGTTTTTATAAGTCTGTAGAGAACTATGTGATATTTAATAATTATATTTATTTTCAGTTTTTATGACTGAAATTTGAATGAAATATCAATCGATTTAAAATAAATGCTATTCTACAAATACTACATATTAATCAGCAATTTTTTTATACTTATTTAGAATTTTATCATTTAGCTTTATAATCTAATAATTGTTGCTACAGTAAAATATTTAAATATATTTACGATGCAAATTATCTTTTCTTTTTTTTATTACTCTAACTAATTAATAAAATAAACCTTGGATTCAATTAGTTCTTATTATTCAGTTACGTAGTAAAACATTAATAGATTTAATTGTCTAATTCTAAAACAAAAAAATAACGTTATCATTTGTTTTCCTATTAGACCTTAATTTGTCACAGAATGAAGTTTTCCTTGAATTTCAATCACAATTTTATACCTATTACAGGAACAAACGCAAATACCAGAAATTAATGACGATGGTAAGTAAAATGATTGCTTAGGGCATTACGTATAATATTAAACTACTACACAACTAGAAAAAAACCTTATTAAAAAACCTTCAACAATGTTTTAATATTATATAGATCTTTAAATAATTATGTAATTGTCATTTTAAAATGTCGAGGATAGCATAAAAAGAACAGCCAAGAAAGCCTTTTTACAGATACATTAGATATTACGATAAATTGTTACGCTATGGCTATCAAACTATTTAATCACTTTCCTAGAAGTTATAGATCACTGCCATGTAATGCTTTCAAAGGGAAGCTGATGGTGCCTTTATGAGGGGGTAATTAGATTTTAGACCCTAAGTTTGACAACAATTATAAATAATTTAACTTATTACTATGACATTATGTTCTTATTATATGAAATTATAAAAATTATTATGACATTTGCATGTCTATATTTATATGGCTGATTGTGCGGGTTTTTATAATTAATCGATCTAAACGTACCACTTTCTTTGCAAATAAACGATTTATTTATTAAACCAAGATGATATATTTCAGAGGTCCTCCTGCGCATGGATTGTGTGGGTATTTGCGGATCAGACGTGCACTACTGGCAACACGGCTCCTGCGGTCACTTCGTTCTCAAGAGACCCATGATTATGGGACATGAGGCGTCAGGTGTTGTCGCTAAGGTATGCCACTATTTCGCAAACATTTATTATTTTCATGGACAATTTAAAGAAAAAACATTCGTATATTTCGTACATTGTAATATTTATTTATGTTATTATTAATCCGTTAACACTAGATACTCTACCACAAATCTAAGTAAATTATTTAATAACAAGTTTTAGCAGCACTTACAGTACACATATTTTTTTTAACCAAGGTGCCACTTTGAATTACACCAAGGTGCCACCTAAGTACAGTATTGTCATTTGTTACAAAATAGTTTATAAAGAAATATAATTTAATTATAAAGAGTTCTTATATAGCGTTATATATTATATTGTATGATAATTGGATCGAATGCAGGTTACAAACTGTGATAAGTTAAATTTTATTACAGTAGGTATATATATGATAATTATTATCGTAAATATTTACAACTTTCAAGATGGCTTATTTGTTATACAATTAATATGACTTTCATATGAATATCATGACTATATAAACGTATGATTATTATACAAAAATAAACCATGAACTTGTTTGACAAGATAGCGTTACAAGCATGTTCTGAAGTGTGTCTTGGAAAATAAGCGTTTAAGGAGGATTTTTAACCTGTGTTAGTATGTGGTTATTATTAGTTACGCTGCTAACATGAAATTTAAGATTGATTTAGAATTGTGATTAAATGAATGAAAAAAAGAATATGTCAGTATTATGCCACCTTATAAAATATGTTATCCACGTTGATTAACACGCCTTAAATTGAATACGATCTGTAATACAATATTGTTATTGCTTCTGTAATTGAGTTAGTGAAGAGCCATCCAATGAAACTGTGAAGATAAAAACTAATCATTTACAAATTAATTAAATTGTTTTTTCAAGGATTTAGCGTAGCCATAAAAGATTGTTTTGTATCATTAAAATATTATGTAGAAATATACCACCATAAAATTTAAGTATTACAATGATTAGATAAAACTTTAAACTCAAGAAACACGTAGCGACATAGTATATTAAAAAACAAAAGGTTTTTATTTTATTTATATCTTCGTATTGAGCCTGTAGGTTCAAATTTAAATTATTTGTACTTGTCGAGGAAGGAAGGTTCTGGTGTTCCGAACTAAAGAAAGGATCCGACCAGTCTAACCACGGACTGCCCACCCCACTGTCTCAGGTCGAGAATTCTTGCTCCTTGCAGCAGAAAACCTTTGTTAGCGGGTTTTAGGGTCTTAGGGTCATCGCTGTGATTGTAGACTTTTGTTGTGGGTGTCGCTACATATTTATTGTCCACAAAGTAAATATAAACGAGGGTACGGGTATAACTAGCTATAGACATCTGTCTAATTATATCCGTTTATAAAAGAACAATCATATAAAAATGAAGAGAATTCTTATTTATTTGATATATGTGTATGTCTTAAAATAGACAACCTTGCGACGTTACCACGTTAGCGTAATCATTGCAATTCTACTAGAGCATGCAGTTTAACTGCCTATGATTGCACCTTGGACAAATGCGACGCGATCCTTGTCTAACATATTTGTATTTTTGTTTCTTCCCGGTTCAGCTAGAACAAAAATAAAAATATGTATTATGATAGCCTTATTTTACCCAGTTTTCAGTGTAAGCCATTGAAATGTAGAAATTTGCGTTTGTGAAGAATAAATAGAATTCAAATATCTGTATCACTACAAATAATTTTATGTTTCGACGTAGTCCTTACCTTTCAGGTTTCCACATTTTTTATTTTTTCTAAAACTATATTTTTTTCATCTTCTTAATCCCTCAAAAGAATGTACCGCGGTGATTATCTTCAAATTAATGTCTCCTGTGATGTGCCTTTAAAGGCGGAAGTAGGTAGAAGTTAGATATAATATGATGGATGTTCCACAAATTCGAAGCGAACTAGTTGTATCACAGACATCGCAACCCAAACATCGTTGTGAAATTCTCAGTCCCGTTTGTTTCTGCCCCTCACCATCATTCTGGCACTTTATTCATACCCAAATGGTTGTGTATAATATAATGGACAAATATTTATTTCTTTGGCTATAAAACAAATACAACGACGATCCGCTAAGACAGTGTTATCAACTTTTTTAATGATTTGTTCAGTCACTACCGATGTAGGGCGTCCTGTGCGGGGTCGTCGTTAATCGAAATTAGCCCGCAACCGTAGAATATGGAGTAGCATGAACTCCTAATATTACTCTTATGTCTTGATTTACCAGCTCCGTAGTTTTCAAGCAGAGATGTTTTATTACCACACAAACTTAATAAGAACAAGTTCCGACAAAACGACGCAAGCAAATGGCTTCTATTTTTAAAAAACGAAAGAGAAATGATGTTTTTTTATTATTGTTATAATCTGATGTCTGCGCTATGCCTGACAGTATTTTTTTTTCTTTCCAAGGAATGTATCGCATTATTACTAAATATTTATTAAACTTACGTAACTTTTACACACAACTAAAAGAAAATGGATAATTTTTATCTATTTCTTGTGTTCTGTTCTGTTTAAACAGCTAACTAAATTTAATAAACAAATAGTGTTTTTGATTGCCGTGACTGCCTAACCGTTAGAACCCTGGCAAATTGGATTTCTATTTTTACTTCTAATAACTCGTTTCTAAAATTTGATTATTTATCAAGGGGATAAATTTAGAAATTTGAGAACAGAATTGGGCTGTAGCGCCACTAGTTTTTATTGAGATAGCGGATGGCTAGTTTATATTTTTATGTTTTTCAGATCGGCAATAAAGTAAAGAACCTACAAGTTGGTGACCGCGTTGCGATAGAGCCAGGAGTTCCTTGTCGCTATTGCGAGTTCTGCAAAACAGGCCGATACCACCTGTGTCCGGACATTCAGTTCTGCGCCACACCTCCAGTCCACGGGAACCTGACCAGATATTACAAACATGCTGCTGATTTTTGTTATAAGTAAGTTTATTTATCCATTAAAATAGATTTTTTATTCTAGTCTATAGATTTTGTTAGGCGTTAAACATTAATTCACTAACTAAACTAATCATCAACTTATGGCACTTATCTGTCGAATGCCCAAAAATATTCGGAACATCGAGGTATCAGATGAAATCTGCCATCAAGTTTTGGACACAAGAACTTAAAAAGTATGTATATTTGAACCAGACTCCCAGACCACGTGACAATGGAAGAAGGTGCACTGTTAGAGCCCTTATCGGTGGGAATTCACGCGTGTCGCAGAGGCGGTGTCACGGCTGGCGATGTGGTTTTAGTTCTGGGAGCTGGCCCGATTGGTCTCGTCACCATGTTGGCGGCTAAAGCTATGGGGGCAAGCAAGATTCTTATCACAGGTGGGTTAAATTTAAAACTAACATGGAGTTTATTTATAGGTATAGGATGCAGTAAGCCTTTAGAAACAAATAATAAACGTTTTTTGTATTAGCGTGAATGGAAAATAAAACAAAAATATTGAATTTAGAATCATAGAAACAAGGCAGAGCTTTTATTGTTAAGAAAAATAGTCGTTTTATTGCCATCAAGAATATTAAGTACATATACCTATATGATTTATTAAATCTAATATTTTGTCAGATTTATCAGTTATTTTCCTTTATTAGTAGTTTTCCTACAGTACGCTCTGCACTGGCCTTTCTGTAGACTACGAGCCAACCTCCAGTCCACTTAGTCGGTGGGCTGGCCGCGCCGTCGTTTGTTCTGCCCAGGTCTCTATTCAAGGAGCCTGCGGGTCCATCGGTTCTTGTCCATGCGCTATGTGGCCTGCCCAACGTCACTTAGATCGGCCTCACGAATGGCCTCATTTCATACGCGATCGCGAAGGTAGATGCCAAGCATTGCACGCTCCAACGCCCGCTGCGTGACTCTCAGGCTTTCCGCCATGCATTGTTAATTATATATTTAATATACTAATTACATTGCAGATATCCTTGAGTCCCGTTTACAATTTGCAAAGAAATTGGGTGCTGACTTCACCCTTTTAGTATCGAAGGAGTCCAGCGAAGCCGACCTCGTAATGCGGGTTCACGAGTTGCTAGGAGGACATCCTGATATCTCCATAGATGCTAGTGGAGTTCAGAGTACAGTCCGACTTTCATTATTGGTAAGTTATATAGTTTCACAGCGCTAAATGTGATTATCAAAATAAAAAGTATCATGCCAGCAGTGTACAAGTTTACTTGTTTGATATAACAAACAGGAACCAAATTTAGATACTTTAAATACAGCATAGCAGTATTTTTAATCCCTTTTACTTATTGCAGGCAACGAAGTCAGGTGGTGCTGTGGTGTTAGTGGGTATGGGCAACCCGGAGGTTACTTTACCGTTGGCCGGAGCTATGGCGCGAGAGGTCGACATACGCGGGATTTTCAGATATGTCAATGAGTTAGTTCTCTTTCTACTAACTCCACCTAATCTATACTCTTCCTTAAGAAAATGACAATACAATTTTTATCAGTTTAGTTATAGACTAGGAGGATTTTTAACATTTTATCGATCTGTTTCTTTTCTAAAACTATTAAACTGGTGTGTGCATTGACGTTATACGAGAGTTTAAAAGGAAGAATACCAGGTATTGTATAAAAGCACTATTGGAATATTTCATTATTAGGACCAAAACAACAGTACCTTAGACAAGACAGCATAATTTTTTAATGTTCTTTAAATGATCAAATAGCACTTGAATGGACAATGTTATGAAGAACAATGTCAATGTTTATATAATTTATCCGTATTACCTCGACGTCCGCCGTTCCACAACTGAGCGTTTTTAAGGCAGTTTCTGCTGCGTACCACCACTATGTGGAACCCACTGAAGTATTATTATACACGATCCTCAGGCATTGAGAGTGTTCATGGGCGGCGGTATCACTTAACTTCCTTCCGTTGGCCACTGTTCTATCAAAAATAATAATAATAATTGATTTCTTCAAGCAGACAGTCATAAGTCCATATGGTTATATCCGTTTTCATAAATTTCAGATACCCAATAGCACTTGCCATGGTGTCCAGCGGACAAATTAACGTCAAGCCATTGGTCACTCACCATTTCTCACTCGAGCAAACCCTGGAGGCATACGAAGTTGCTCGTCAAGGGACCGGAATCAAAGTCATGATTCACGTAGAACCCAAAGATATGAATAATCCTAGAAAATTCTGAAAACGTAAATTGTTTAAACTTTTAAACAATCTCTCGATAAAACATAAAAAATCTTGTAATCTCTGTTTCTCATAGTTCACTTACCACTGTCATTGTTAAGTCAGGCTTATATCTATAGCTAACCGTTTAAACCTTATTTTTTTATCCCGAGAATTATATTGTAAAAAGTTAAAGTTTATTTATTAAATGTAAATAGATAGATGTTTTTCATTTTTATTCGCTGTGAAATAACAGCGAAAGATAACCGAATTGATTCATCTCTAGTGAAAATCTAAAAAGGCTATTTTTATACGATTCGCAAAAAGCTGTTAAATATTTACCAAAAAACTGTTTTCTTTAATCCTTCCATCCTTGGTAGTTTTTAATCCATTATAAATAAAAATAATGGTATAATAAAAATGATTAAATGTTTTCCAAGTCTGGAAATCATCTGTCAACTGTCAACTGACTTACTGAGATAAGTTAAAAACAACCAAAGCGATAGGAATGTGGAAAAAAATTTTACATGTATTTACGAACGAACATACGAATTTTTTTCACAATCCCATCCCAACATGTATAGAAATAAAACGTCAAAACATCAATTATTCTAAATGTTATATACACTTCTTAGTTCAAACGTACTGAATAGTTTAAATTAAACTTCTTTCATTATTTTATGCATGTAAATTTCTCCAGACCGATTCAGCCATCGCGGATAATTTTAATTATGCAAAACATTAAAGTGATGGCGCTGGCACGCTCTTTTTCCTAACTCTCCTACTCCAATGGGACGTATATTCGAGACAGCCGGTCACGAGATCAAGTATCGACAGTTTTTACTTTAACTTAACTAAAGCACGTCAGGTTTGCTGAAATACCCCAAATTTCCTAACTTTCCTAAAGCTCTAAGTTGGAAAGTGCACTTTATTCACACAGAATTTACCAAGGCGTATTTTTATTCTCAGCTGCATCTCGGAGTTCAACCTCATCATCTACAGTTGGACATGCTATCCGCCACTATTTATTATCTCGTGTTAGTATACAGTAGAATATTATCTAATAACTATGAAAGTACAATAGTCTATATTTATTCACCACAGATAACGTTAGGGCGTAATAAATCTATTGTTTTCTCTTTACTAAGATACTTTGGTTTGAGATTAATGATAAATTGAATAAATAGACTTCATTTCATGAAATCTGATGTTAGTACAAAAAGTCGTAAGCGTTTGAAGATAATTAACCAAACAATAAAAATATCGTTACTAGGAATTTTATTATAAATTGATCAATATACATATTATTCCTGAATTCTTATTAAATAATATATATGTTACGTAAAACCGAATTTTACGAGGGCACCAAGCATTATTTTAAAATACCGCTACATAAATCTGTCTCTATGAATGCGATCAACTCAAGAACTACTGATTATATTTTTGTAGTTTTTTTATTTTCAACAAAACAGTGTGGAGAAGGTTTAGGTGTACGATATAGTCCTATGTAACCTAACTCAAATATAATATAACAATTATTGTTAAAGAGAACGAAAACAATTTAGCAAAAATACATGCAATCCAGTTTTTTTTTATATAGTGACAAAAATGACATGCACATGCAATATGAGATAATTCGAATATTGATTTGACGCAAATATACGTAGTTGCGTTTCATATTCAGATAATATGTTATGTTAGAATAGAGTTTAGTTAGCAACGTAACTTTAAACAGAATGGCGGAAAATATTGCTGTGGTTTTGCACGGACCGTACGATTTAAAAGTCGTAAGTATTTCAGGAAATCTACTTTCCAGATATTTAAAGTAAAAGAATTTTATAAAAAAAGTGTCGAAATGGACAAAATGTTTTATTAAAAGCACTTTTTCGTTTATATTTTTCATTACTTTCATCTTTTAAGCAATAATTTAAAAATTAATGTTATAAATGACTATAGGCCAGAATTATAAATGAAAATAAATAAATGTTCCGAAATTAGGAAATAACTGTATAAAAAGCTTGAACTAATTAAATAACGTTATAATTGTTCGCAGGAAGAATATCCAATACCAATAATAAATGATGATGGTAGGTGTTATTAAGTTAAATTTTATTTATTATTTATAAATTAACTAAATTAACTAAGTCCAGTGGGAGCGGGCGCCTGATTATCGGTAGCATGATATATTTCATTATTAATAACTTGTATAGTTAGAACAATGGGGAAAACATATTTTGCCTTAGTGTCTTATACATAAAAGAAAGGATTGCTAATTAGTAGTTATTGGCAAGGAAGTTGCCCAGATTGTCGCGAATGGACGTACAGTAGCATAAAACATAACAGTGACTTCTGAGCATCAAACTCTGGCCAAATTATTTGAAGACCTTAAAAGTTTCATACACTTCGAGCATTTCCTGTGGGCCACGTATGCAAAACAAAGGAACTTAATTTTTTTGTAAATTCCAGAAGTCCTAATAAAAGTGAGCTGTGTCGGAATATGTGGTTCGGACATCCGAATTTATACCACAGCAAGATGCGGTATGGAGTCAATTACAGAACCTCTTATCATGGGTCACGAGGGTGCAGGAGTTATCGTCAAAGTTTGTATTTTGATAATGATAATATTTACTTTTATTATTATTAGAGCGTCATTAATTTTTTATTTTTTTATTTATTTGGACCACAAAATTAGGACAAGCACATGATATAAATTGACAAACATACAAAAATAAAAAAATCGGTGCCGACCCTAAAACATGTGGACACGACCAGCGAAATCAAGTAAATACAATAAACAGTGTTAATACAAACAACCATAAAATTAAAAACTATAAAAAAGTTAAACTCTTAGCTGAGGCCATGAAAAATGTCAAACTCTGCAATATCATTATGGTAGCGACATACCTATTAATTGGAGAGTTTCTGCCAACGTTTGTTCGACAATGTGCGATGTGAAAATTTGCATGGATTAATGATTCCATACAAAAAATAGTTATTTAACATTTCTTAATAGAGTACTACCTAGTTGTAAAAAACTAAGTAAGTTTTTGAAGTGAAACTTCTTTATCGGGGTTGGAAAAAAATTTAGTGTAACATTTTGCGTTACGCGTCACATTTTTCCGTTACGCGCCATGTTGCTTTTTGAAGTCAAACTTCTTTATCGGCGTTAAAATATGACATATAGTATGTTTTTGACTTTGAAGTTTGACAACGGATTACATTTTCGAAGTCAAACTTCTTTATCGGCGTTAAAATATGACATATATGTAGTATGTTTTTGACTTTGAAGTTTGACAACGGATTACATTTTCGACTTGAAATTTGCTAATCGCAATTTGCAGCAATTAATTTGTAAATTGTATGCTAGGCAGTGTATCAAAATTTACTGTGTTTAAAGAAATAGATTCTAATAAGGTCATAAAGAAGTTTCACTTCTTACGTGTATACACCTAGTACACGCACACACTTTTTTTTATTTTAGTTGTCTACTATTGTATGGAAAGGGTAAAAGCTTCCTACATATTTTGCCATTTCTCAATTTTTCAATGCTTTATTCAGATCTAATTGTCTTGCTTTGATGATCTTAACGATGAAAGTGTATAATTACTGTGACGTCTCTAAACTTTTTTTTTATTATTGTCCTGTTCCTCGTTTTTCATATGTAATGGAGGGTACCCTCCATGATATACTATTGTTTTAAATGAAGCAGACCTTGCAACGATTGATTTTTATGTTCGTATTACCTACTGTGGTAAATTGTAACATACCCCTAAATTAGAAAAGGGTAAATGAGCTAGCTAGTGGCACAACAACCCTTGGTCTTGGCCTCACAACTGTTTCGATTTTTTTTAAAAGGCAAGGTGATCAGCCTGCGCGCCAGGGTTCGAACCCCAGTGAGGATGAGTGACGCACTAGGCCAACGCTGCTCTACTACTTATCTAAACCATTCCCTAAATTTAACTTCTGCACAAACAGAAAACTCCAGAACCCTTGCCTTAGATTGTAACAAGTTTAACAAAAAGAAAAAAACAATGTGTCAGATCACCTCAGACACAAAGCGCTGAACTCATACTTACTGAGAACATAAACATCATCAAAGAAACAAATGCTATCTGAGGCCAATACACATGAAGGGAACAACCCTGGATCTCTACTACTACAATGGCGGGTTACACAATTTCTAGGTGGGTGCCAATGTTACGAATTTAAGGCCAGGTGACAGAATTGCCATTGAACCTACCCAGCCATGTAGGTCCTGTGAGTTTTGTCGATCCGGAAGATACAATATCTGCGAGGAACCGCGCTACTGCTCCACGCACGGGTCGCCGGGAAACCTCTGTACATACTACAAGCATGTTGCCGACTTCTGTCACAAGTAAGAATCTAATAAAACTTGTCACTAACACATCTTAGATCTAAGGGTGATATTCAAGAACAAGGCTTAGCGGTAAGTGTGACTCCCGTACGTCAAAACCTTTGTTGTTTGACATATACGAGTCACAGTTCGCACAGTCTGGTTTCTGAACCCTAAGTTTAAAGACGTATTCGACATTACCAAAAATCGAATAACACGAAAATAACTGATTAGAAAGTCAACCTATAGGGTGAATACTATTTAAGATATAAAATATTTGAAGCAAGATAAAAAAAAATTATGTTAATTCCACATTTTCTTGTATATGTCACCGTAAAATTGTAAACACCGTTAGATTGTAATCTATCTCGCGAGATTGTAAACTGTCGAAAGATTGTGAACTCAACGTACTGCTTACAATTTAACGTATTATTATTCGGTAGATTGTAATCTGTCGAAGTGAAACCGTCAAATTGTGAAACGGCCATTTTCTACTTTTATTATTTCCTCATTTGTTAATTTTAAATTAAAACCTAATTTAACCTTTACATTAACTTCATGTTTCAATTAGTGTATGGTTCCGAAAAAATTTAAATTATTCAAAAAGTACCCAAAATCGAATCAGAGCACCCCACTATCCACGTGGTCTTGTCTGCCCTACCCCTAGAGTGTATATAAAAAAATCGGAGGCGTAGTGGAAGAGCAGCCCCCACCCGCTGTAACAAAGCATAGGCATTATGCAAGCCGTAGCGGCTAAGGCTGGTCCAAAACATGAAGTTAATGTAATGTATGTACATTTGACAAGTAATGGTTGAGTTAGGTTTAAATTTAAAATTAACAAATGAGGAAATAATCCATTCGATTAGGTTCAACTTTAAAATTAACAAGTAATGGTTGAATTAGGTTTAAATTTAAAATTAACAAATGAGGAAATAATCCATTCGATTAGGTTCAACTTTAAAATTAACAAATGAGGAAATAATCGATTCGATTAATTTACCGAGAATGTCACATCACTTATAACCAATAGAAAACGAGAATGTCACATCTCTTATAACCAATAGAAAAGTAGGAAATGGCCGTTTCACAATTTGACGGTTTCACTTCGATACATTACAATCTACCGAATAATAATAAGTTAAATTGTAAGCAGTACGCCGAGGTTCACAATCTTTCGACAGTTTATAATCTCGCGAGATAGATTACAATCTAACGGTTTTTACAATTTTACGTTAACATATACATAATACAACATTGACTTTAAACGAAATAGCTTTGACTAAAAAATTTGGATAATTTTCAAAGACGAGGTTAGCAAGGATATATTTTCCAGGCTGAAACTTTGAACACCACTATAGAGGGAAAGTTCTAGTACTTTATGTACGTGTATAGCGAATTTTATTAAAAATAAATAAAAAAATACTCTATTTCATTATTTTTGAAAATATGCCCACATTATCCCGTATCTAACCCGGTAATAATTCTTAAAAAAAAGAACCTGCACATTTATCATTTGAAAGCGTTTTAATTAAAAAATTTCTAACAACAAATATGATAAAAGAAATAAACACAACAAAAGCCGATAAAACTTGAATTCATATAATCAAAACTGGTGAGAGCAGATTTCTTTGTTTTTTATTTCCTGCATTTAAAATTATATAATTCAAGCCGATATACGTCTTTAGAATCCCTGATAACGTAAGTATGGAAGAAGGTGCAGCAGTGCAGCCACTCGCGATCGCAATACACGCATGTAATCGCGCAGGAATCAAACTGGGAACAAACGTCGTGATATTAGGTGCAGGACCTATTGGAGTTCTGTGCGCTATGACTGCGAAGGCTATGGGTGCTGATAAGGTTCTAATAACAGGTAACCCTCTAAGGTAATGTAATTTGTTTAAATTTTACGGTTGAAACAGAGCGAATATCTCAACAACCGTGTGTGATGCGTTGAGGTATACAAGGGGAGAACTAAGCGGCCTATAAGTCGGAACACGAATTGTAGTATTGCGTCGATTTTCTGGTGTTGTGAATGTGTATAGGAGATCTCATTGTGTTTTTTTGTGAAAGTAAATATTTTTTGTTTGTTTTTTAAATTTAGATTTGGTAGAATCGAGGCTAAAGACGGCACATAAATTAGGAGCCGACTACACTCTCTTGGTGAACGAGAAATACAGTGATCAACAGCAAGTAGAAAAAATTGTGGAAATATTGGGTACAACACCAAATGTCACCATCGAAGCTTGTGGGTCTACGTCAGCTCAGCGAGTGGCTATGATGGTATGGTACCACTCACAGGCAACGCAAATTAATTTTTAGAAACTAGTCTCTAACATTCTAGCCCACTCTACGCCCTGGACTTGCGAACTGCTATATGAATGCGTTCGTTGGCAGTGCGTTTAAACCCTGGATGTGAATCAATGGACTTTTGTGTAATAAACACTTGCACATGAAGGAAAACATTGTGAAAAAACCTTTAAAATCCTAACATGTCGGTCGGGCTCATGATCGCTTATTTTATAAAGAATAAACAAAGTAACAGAGCCATTTGAAAGCTAGACCCTCATGGGGCTCATAAAGGGTTGCAAAGCAAATGGATAATTTATTAGATACGTTTTACAGATTAACTTGCATAAGAAAATTATATTAAAAGAGTATCAAATACGTCTCCCCTTAACACGTGAATCTTATAACTAAACTACTCACCTGTCTCTTTTCATCACAGCGAGACCACAATTTGATAGAAAGAGGTGAAAGGGTAGGTACTTTAGTTAAGAATGCAATTAGAGCGTTTTTATCTTCTTTAGGTAACGCGAACAGGTGGAACAGTTTTAATCGTCGGTATCGGCGAAGAGACTGCTGAGCTCCCGTTGAGTAACGCAATGTTACGAGAAGTTAATATTATTGGAGCTTTTCACCTTTTGAATTCGTAAGTATTATAGAGCTACAAACAATATGTTGCAGACAGGCTCACAGCTACTGAGCTATAAAAATAAATTTAGTTCAGACTTAGTTAAAATAATCTCAAAATTCGATTAATTGAAACTATTCGGAAACGTTGCGGTGTCGGGTAACTAATTTTTCGGTTTATTCCGTCCAGACCGATACGACAACTAAATACTCTTTAATGATGGAGATAATTCGAAATAAATTTACTAGATATATTTACATGAGGTTCTATGGAGTGTTACATCCATTTTACCCGGCTATTTATTCAACATTCTAGCACACGTTGTATACTATTGTATGTGAGAATTATATATTTTCGTTGCACACAGGCAACATTAGACGACTCATTGGTCTAGTGGTTAGTACCCCTGACTGCGAATCCATGGGTCCCGGGTTCGATCCCCGGCTGAGACGAACATCGATGTGATGAGCATTTGGTGTTGTGCTTAGGTCTTGGGTGTTTAAATATGTATTTATATGTCTATCTATATATAATATGTATGTATATCCGTTGCCTAGTACCCATAACACAAGCTTCACCAGCTTAGCATGGGACTAGGTCAATTGGTGTGAATTGTCTTAAAAAAAAAAAAAAAAAAAAACAGGCAGAATTCACAAGGATTGCATTATTCATAATTTATCATTAAAGGTTTAGCTTTTTTTTCTTGTTATGTTATATGTAATATTATTTTTTCAGTTTATTAATAAGTTTTATATTGTATTTAAATGGGATAAGGGTAAAATAACAGAATTAGAATAAAGGGCCATTTTCGGTACAGGTAAAACCAGTAATTCTTCTTGGGCTTTTTCAGGTACCCAGCCGCATTGTCTGCAGTTTCAAACCGAAAAATTGACTTGAAATCATTAATAACCCATCACTTTCCTATTCACAAGGCTAAGGACGCAATAGAGCTGGCAAAGACTGGGAAAGCTATGAAAGTCATCATCCATGTAGATCAATAAAAATACTTAATTTTAAATGAATTTGTCTCTAAACCTATAATATTCATCTTTATAAATTTAGATATTATAGTTCAGTTTAACAACCTCTATACAAAATAAATGGTATATTGTTAATACCCGTTATTTATTTAACTGACCCTCATTAACATCATAACAATTGTTAATCGTTGTCCATGAAGGGACAGGTTTCACCCACTTCTAAGTACAAATTCAGATTTCTGGCCAAAATAAAATTTATTAAGATTCTTACAATTTATTATTTATTAATTTATTATTTACACAGAATCACAGATTAGGTCATTTAAGTATATCAGAGAAAGGAAATAACAAAATAATTCATAAAAAGGAAAAAAATTAAGCATTAAGTTTCTGTGTTATTACATAAAAATAGAAAAATTAAAAAAATTTACTTATTTTGAATGTCTAATTATATAAAAACCGAATTAATTAACAAAGCGGCGGTTTAGAAGTTAAATTTACTAGAATGGGCGACTCCAGGTCGTGTGTTCGCCACCGTGGTCCGAGGTACTGGCATACTGCCCAGCTTGCTACCGCTTGAAGATCCTAAAAGTAATGAGTGTTATAGACCACTTCGGGCATGCGCCTGCGCAGATGCATACAAACAATTGTATAAATAACAGATCTCACCAGACTTAGCGGGAGAGCGCTTGGTGCCAGTGGAGCCTCGCCCTCTGCGGGCAAAGGTCCCTCGATAGGCCTTCTTCTTGGCAGACGACGGAGTCTTCTTACGTCTGTACCTGAAAACACGAGACGGATTTAATATCGCACTATAAACCATCAATCAATATTATTTAACTATAACTTACTTCTTCCTAACTCCCCCCCTATAAGTCCCCCTTCCCCTGCCCCGGGAGGAGCTAGTGCTGGCTTCACGGGCCAGATTTCCCCAGTCCGTGTCGGATCCCGAATCGTTCTGAAACTCTTTGTCCTCTTGCTTCTTCTCGTCTTCTAATTCATCTTGGTACTGCATTAAGAGACCTGAAAATATTTTGAAATTAATTACTGTCTATGTAACAAAGGGCATCTCGATCACAAAAACAAAAAAAGTTTGAATGTATATATATAAATATATATTTTTTTCCAATCAAATATCTTGGTCACACTACCAAAGTTGAAATGCGTCTTGTTGTCTAGGAACGTTTAGGAAACTTGTTAAACGTTTCGTTCAGTCACTTGCCTGACGGCACTTAAGCGACTTAATTGAATATCGATATTTTATTAACTGTCTAGAGATTCAATTAACACTCTGATTTAACTACTTTACTGCGACATATATATTTCGTAAGATGAGACGTAGCGGTTACAGCTACCTTGTCTTAAAACATATTGGATTTTGACATTCGGGAGTCTTAGTTTGCATAAGTCTCGAGTCTAAACAATTCCAATGCGAGGTGCCGGAAGTCTTAGGTTGGTTTTTGCAGATGGAATTTGGAAAATTCTGCTCACTTTGAATCTTGGGGATGAATGGGGGACGACGATGTTAATATTCTGTAAGAGGTTCTATATTTGACCATTCAACAATTTGTAAAGAAACGTAACACCGGATAGAGATCTTCAATCGTACAGTGACATAATTTTAAATTTCCTAAGTCGCTGATGGGACTGCCGATGAGAAATTCCTGTACTAATTAATGAATGCAAAGTGTAAAAATGATTTTCCTTTAAGATTGCTTTTAAAGCTTTGCGAATAGATCGCATATAAGGGATTCAATATAACGTTACCGTATTCAATACGACTGCGCGCTTGAGCGTTATACAAAATTATTTTAGTTTGACAGCCAAATCTGTATTCCGTTTAAGAAATCCGATTGCTTTATCCCTAAATAATTATATATAATGTGGCGAGCCAGTTCTAGCGCGTCTAAACGAGACACGTACGTTGCGTACACGTCCAATGACCTTAGTTCAATGGCCGACCTTACGCGCGTATGAGTGTGTGTGCCCAATCACATGTCAAGAGCTTTATAGTAAGTGGAGAACTGGCCCGCTACAATATTAGCGTTTCTAAAAATAAAAAATTTGTAAAAAAAAACTTTTTAGGCAAACGAGCCGAGAAAAAATCATCGCAGCCCATGGACACCCAGTTTAGCGAGTACGTTGCCGGCCTTTGAGAAAGGAGTATGCTCTTTTTTAATGACTGGATGTCGTTGCAGAAATGATTGTTTCTCGTTACTTAAAATACATTTATCTCACCTATCTTCTCGATGGCATAAGCGGACGTTATCTGGAGCAGGTCCTGCCCGTACTTCTCGAAGTTGGCCCGTGTGATGTGAGGCAGTGACAGCATATCTGGCGCACTTTCAGGCAATCGTATGGACATGGCCTTGAGGGCGGCCAGAGGCAGCACTGCGGTTAGGGATGAGCCCCGAGCGGCTGCCATTTCCCTAAATAGAAAATTTCAATACGTTTAATAATTAACTATTAAGTTTTTCTAAAACTTTTCCATATTTTTCTGAACATACGTTTCAAAACATTATAGAACACTAAGACTGTTAATGAACATTACCTTAGTTTAAGCTATTTCTTAGTATTGTAAAAAATTAAGGCAACATAATATTACTTATTAGCCATAATAATTATTGTTTAGGATAGATTGTAATTCATGTAAAGTCACACTTTTTATTTTAACTTTATTGAAAAAAAAGGAAAGGGTTAAATGTGCTAAAAACTAGATTGACACTGCGCTGTGCCGTCCCATCACTCGATAACACTGGCTGTACGGCGGATATATCCGTAATTCTTCATTTTTCAATTTGCTAATTAACATTCGTAATACAAATTTCTACCAGTTATGTACATTAAAATATTTTAAGCTGGCATTTGGAAAAAGTTAAAAGAAAAATTTGAAAAGTTTCTGGTGTAGATTATTTATGACTTAAATGGGTGTTTCTGGTCTGAATATTATTCGTATTGTAAGGCGTAAACAATAGCGCAGTACGATCAAGACGCGTAAACGCAACGCACACGTAGAAGCGCGCGACTTCTATATAATGCGAAGTCAAACCGAGATCGTGGTTTCCATAAAAAAAAATATTAAGGATTAAGTTTACTTTGTTCTTTTGCAATATTTATAAAAAAACGTGTGTGTACTTATGTACACGCGTTAGAAGTTATAATAATTTTCTTCGAGCATTTTGGTTGAAATAAACACGACTGAAAAAGTCTACGCCATGACAGACAATGCAACTTGTCGATAAAACAGAGCAAGCGCCAACTAGCGGCTCAGACTGTTTTACCGAAGTTTGAACAGATATTCAGGGTGTCGGTAATTGGGACGGTGTGCGCGCGCATCGTTAA